TGGAGGATCTGTTCGCACAGGGCAGCAGTATGATGGACAACTTGATGGACCATCGGTCTGAGATGGTCGAGAAGATTGATGCAATGCAGGCTGAGTTTGCAGCCACAATAAAGCGGCATGACAAGCAAGCAAGGAAAAGACTTAAGACACTCAGAGAGGAGCTGGAAAAGMRGAACAGTGGTACGATTGAAGAGCTGGAGAAGCGGGCTGGAAGTACCATCGCCAAGCTGCAGAAAAAGTTGGCACGTTACAAGAAGAAAAATGCACGGCTTCAGGCAGAACTAGATGCGGCTGTTCGGCGCACACAGCCTACTCCATCGGAGTAGGACAGGTTCTATCGCATACTTTTGTCTCCATATTTTGTTTATTTGAGTTGGGAATCATTTTTACTTGTTTATTAGCTTTATTTTCCTGCATAATCACTTCGGATAAGACTTATGCACATGAGTTCATAGCTTGAGTAATTTTGAGGATTCTTGGACATTCACCCGAATCATTTGATGAAAAACTAGAACTAGCCAACCACTTTTTGGGACAAAATTTTGATCACACAACTCACAATCGGACATGATTTAGGCCTTCTTTTCTATACTCATATTCGGCCTTTTTGCACCCTTCAAAACACTCTCTACCCCACAAAGCTCCAATGAGGACATTGTAAATTTCAAGTTTGGGGGAAGCATTTATATGAGGCTATGTATCAATACCATAGAGCAAAGCTCTAATTTGACTCATCATCATCATAAGGGTTTAGGTAAACACAATAAAAGTCCCATAGGGGCTATGTGTTTCAAATTAGCACAATAAAAGTCCCATAGGGGCTATGTGCACACTCCAAGCAAAAGAGGCCAAAGTGCCCAAAAATTTGAAAAAATTCATATGTGGAGTATAATTGGAAAAAGGCAATGAGAGAAAAGAAAACGCCAAAGAGAGTTARCCCTTTTAAGCCCTATTGATCCTATGTGTGATTGTGTTTGAACTAACAAAGAAAAGGGAAGGCTAGCTTATGGTTCACATAAAATGGTTTGGTTTTGAATAAACTCATCTAGGAAATTATGAAAAGCTATGAACCTCACGTTTGTATAACTCTTGTTTGATTGGCACTTAATGCCTTGATCATGCAGAATTTTTTGTGTAAATAGAGTCTTTATATTTGTCTTTTGGTTGCTTGGGGACAAGCAACGGTTTAAGTTTGGGGGTGTGATAGGTATTGAGAATTCAACACATAATGCATCCGTTTTACATCTTTTTAGCTTAAATTAGTTATCTTTCATTCCCACTTTGAGTCATTTTAATTTATTTCTCTTTTATTTTGTTATGGAGCTAAAATATTGTGGTTTAACTTGTTGGGGCATGAAAATATAAGCTAACGGATAATTTTTTGTAAAACAGCCTAATGCTACAGCACTGCAGCAGCACCCATCTGATGCACATACGGTTGGGCAAGGGCTTAACGATTAAGCTGCTGATTTTTGAATGCTGAATGGAGGACAACCAGATGCCAGCTGGAAGATTTTAGAAATCTGGAAAGTTTTGGACCAATGGATAATACTTAGCTTAGGATCCCTTTTTGTACTAAATTTTGGGTATTAACCCTTGGATAATAGTTTTGTTGTTTTGTGCTCAACTCCTTGTATAAATAGGAGTGTTTACCCACTTGTTTAGRGAGCCAATTAACATACATTACACTTCAAAATCAGCTAGTTAGAGCTGATTTGTGAAGACTCTTTTGTGAAATTCTTCAAGTTCTTCATTTCTCGTCTTTCATTTCTCGCTCTTTATTTTACGTTTCTTTACDATTATTGTCATTTACATTCCGTCATTTACTTTCCGCAATTTATTTTCTTGTCATTTATTTTCCCGTCATTTACATTCTCGTTATTTATTTTTATGTTATTTACGTTTCCCGTTATTTACTTTTCCGTCATTTACTTTATCGCTATTTATTTTACGCAATCTACATTTATGTCTTTACTTTCCGTCATTTATTCTTTACTTACCGTTATGAGTAGCTAAGTTTTTATAGCTTGGGTGTGAGACAAAAATGTGAGATTTTCAAACCGAACGAAAGTAGCTAAGTGTTT